GTTGAGGGGCTTTCACCCGGCCCCTAGAGCCTGGCACTTTGTACTTGGACGTAAAGCCTCCAAATTGTAAGAATAAACTCCTGTTTGTTAAGGCCATCCCGTTTGTGGTATAGTCCTGTCAGAGCGGCAGTAGGGAACCAGACCAGCCATCCTCATAATCATTGCTGTGTTTGAGTCCATTATTGTAGCCACTGTGTCAGTTCATCTTGTTGAGGCTTTTCCTCCTCTTTGCTGACCCTCTACCAAGCATGATGTCCTTCTCCTGATTACATGACTGAAAAATGAAGGACAGAGTCTCACCATCGTCACTTCTAAGGACCATTCTAGCCGTACTTCCTCCAAGACAGATTTGTTCATTTTTCTGGCAGTCCCTGGTATATTCAATATTCTTCACCAACATCACATAAATGCATCAATTCTTCTTCAGTCTTCTTTACCATTGTTTAGCTTTCACATGCATATGAGGCAACTCAAAGTACCAAGGCTTGGGTCAGGCAGACCTTAGTCCTCAGAGTGACATCTTTGAATTTTGACACTGTAAAGTGTCTTTGCCAGCAGATTTGCCCAGTGCGATATGTCATTTGACTTCTTGACTGTTGCTTCCACAGATGTTGACTGTGGATCCAGTAGAGTGAAGTCCACAACCACGTCCACATTGTTTTATATACCCAAGTGGTGTTTCAATCTTTAGTCCTCGCCCTGTGTGCTACCCAAATGGGGTTTTGGAATCACAAACCTGAGGGGACCATGGTGTTGTTGGGGGGAAGATGGGTCTAGTTAAAGGTATCTTGTGCAGGGCTGGTGGGGCTGATAAACCCGCTGTGATGAGAGGGACTTTTGCCCTTCCCATCGGTGCTTCTGTGATCACCATGTCTGGGCTAACAGCCCATGGACATCTGCCCTCGGTGTGTGTGGCTGGCAGAAGGATGGCTCTGCTGATTAGACAGTGGTTTGTCCAGGCAAAGCCCACCTGTTGTCCTGCCGAGCTGCCCCTGTCATTTCTCTCAGCCATGGTGATGGGGAGGACAGGGGTGGCTGAGTGGTAGAATTCTCACCTTCTGTACTAGAGACCCAGGTTCGGTTCCTGGCCAGTGCACCTCATGCATCGCCACCATCCATCTGTCACTGGAGGCTCGTGAGTTGCTGGAGTCCTGAACAGGTTTCAGCAGAGCTTCGTGACTAACATAGTGTGGGAAGAAAGGTTTGGATCTACTTGGGAAAATCCACCAGTGAAAACCCCACGGATCACAGCAGTCTTACCCACACTTGATCATGGGCTGGCACAGGACCAGGCAGTGTTGCGTCGTGTTGTGCACAGGCTTACCGTGAGTCAGGGGCTGACTCGACAGCAGGGAACAGCAAGCAACAGTGATGACAAGAGAGGAGGATAATCTTTGTCACTCCAGTCACACCACATGGCAGTCGCTTTAGTCCAAGACAACGGCTAATTGTTCAAGGTTCCAGACATTTCTTTTTATCTCTGCTTTTAAAAAACTGGTCATTTGGTTAAGTGGAAATCAGTGCATATTATTTATACATTTTATATATATATCTTGTAGTTTGGGTGGAAGGTTACAGAGCAAGTTACTTTTCCATTCAACAATTTATACACATTTAGTTTCAGTGCATTATATTAAAAGACTGTCTTTTAAGTTCATTGACATCTCTTTATTTGTCCTAAATTTTAACTGCTAAGTAAACGTAAAAGAGCCCTGTGGCGCGGTGGCTGAGTGTGCAGCTGCAAGCTGGAAGGTTGGCAGTTCTCACCCACCCAGAGGCTCTGGCGATCTGTTCCTGTAAAGATTACAGCCTATGAAACCCTACGGGCAGTTCTCCTTTGTGCTGTAGGGTTGTGATGAGTCAGTGTCGACTCAAGGGCAATGGGTTTCTCTTTTTTGGTAAGTGTATATAGAAAACACTTCAAAAAAAAAAAAATTAAAGGTAATTTTCCAAACATCACAGGTCTAGGGTTAAGGAGTCCAGGGCTCCTAGGGCAGCTGAATGCTGTCATTAACTACCGAGTCTGTGCAGACTCTTTAATCAAAGAATTTACTACTGGACATAGACAAGGTAATTTTTGTATATGGAAGTATCGAAATTGGCATTTTTGCAATATGAAGCACAAAGTGTCACATAGGGCCTATGACTCCTTACGAAGATGGAGGATGGGACAGGTCTACCTTTGGTATCACCAGTGGGCTGTGCTCTGGTATTGTCTAGCAGGACGTTCCCAGAACAAGAACATACTTCCTCTGTTTTAAGCCAAATGCCAGTGATTTAACTACCCCAAAAGGAAGGCCATGAGTTTACAGTCAACTTATCGGCAACTGGTTTTGGAGTTCTGGGTGGTGCAAGAAAGGAGCACTGGTGGCACAGTGGTTAAGCACTTGGCTGCTAACTAGAAGGTCAGTGGTTTGAACTCACCAGCATTCTGTGGGAGATTACAGCCTTGGAAACCCTATGGAGCAGTTTTTCTGTCCTACACGGTTGCTATTAGAATTGACTGAACAGCAACAGGTTTGTTTTTTATTTGGGGGGGGGGGGCGTGCTACAAGCTGTTAACATTCTGGGCTGCTAACCAAAAGGTTAGAGGTTTGAGTCCACCCAGAGGGGCCTTGGAAGAAAGGACTGGCAATCTACTTCTGAAAAGTCATCCACTGAAAACCCTGTGGAGCACAGTTCCACTCTGATACACATGGGGTTGCCATGAGTTGGAGTCGACTCAGTGGCAACTGGTTTGTTTGGGATATTTTAGTCATAGAAATCCTTTATTATCAAAACCCCAAACCCCATTGCTGTCAAGTTGATTCCAACTCATAGCAACCCTTTAAGACAGAGTAGAACTGTCCCATAGGGTTTCTAAGACTATAAATCTTTATGGAAACAAAGCCCAAACCAAACCCACTGCCTTCAAGTTGATTCCAACTCACAGCACCCCTAGAGGACAGAGTGGAACTGCTCCACAGGGTTTACAGGTTTGTAATCTTCCATAATGATACCGCCTTGGAAACCCAAGGAGGGGTCACTGTGTGTCTGGCCCAACTTGACGGCACATAACAACAGCAGCAATCTTTGTAGAAGCAGACTGCCACCTTTCTATCCATGGAGCAGTTGGTGGTTTTGAACCGGCAACTTTTTGGTTAGCAGCCAAGTGCTTAACCATTGTGCCACCTAGGCTCCTTCCTTTCTTACTAAATAGTGCAAAACTAAGCTTTGCCCCGCTTCAGATGACACGCATGTGGACGTAGACACGGTGCCCAGCAGGAAGCAGTGTGCCATGTTTAGGACCTAACGACTGTCTCACTCTGCCCTGTGCACAGCAGGAACTCATCGAGAGCATCAGTCGCAAGCTGCAGGTGCTGCGGGAAGCCCGGGAGACCCTGCTGGAGGATATCCAGGCCAATAACGAGCTCGGGGACGAGATGGAGGCCATCGCCAAAGACGTCTGCAAGCCCAACGAGTTTGACAAGTTCCGCATGTTCATTGGGGACCTGGACAAGGTGGTGAACCTTCTGCTGTCCCTGTCCGGCCGCCTGGCCCGCGTGGAGAACGCCCTCAATAACCTGGATGACAGCGCTTCTCCTGGGGACCGGGTATCTATCTATCCATGGGCCTCAGCTGGCAGTGGGAGACGGTCCCAGGGGGGTGGTGAGAGCCAAGTCCTTAAAGCCTGGCCCCGTTTACACAGCAGCCTATGCTTCCGTAATGTGGCCCTGGTTATACAGCAGCCTGTCCTCCTGTCACGTGAAACGCTATCGAAATGCGGAGTGCACTCTCCCGCTTCTCCCTTTCGGGAAGATGTGGCAGTGGTGGTTATTAGCTGCTGTCGAGTCAGGTCTGACTCATGACACCCCCTGTGTGCAGAGGACAGCTGCACCATAGGGTTTTCAAGGCTGTGACCTTTTGGAAGCAGACTGCCAGGCCTCTCTTCTAAGGCTTTGAATGGAGGTGGCCAGTGTCTTCAAAGGCAGGCTGGCAGTTTCCAACAGCTCTCAGAGATGCTGCAAGCAGCCCTGGCTCGGAGCCGCAAGGCCCTACCAGCAGCTGTGTGGCCCCACGGCAGCCTGAGGGGCCTACGCCTGCTTTACTGAGCATGAAGCTATTGTAGCCAAGAGGTCAAAGTGTCAGGTCTAAACATCATGAATGTAATCAGTACCTTGGTTCAGGTCAACGTTACCCATGTAATATAGCTGGACCTTCCATACCAAATTGTGATGGTAGGCCTGTCTTCTGAGGTTTGAACCGCCAACCTTTTGGTTGGTAGTCCAGCATCTAATCATCTGCATCACCCAGGACTCCTCCTCTTGTTCCTTTTAATTGAAGGCAAAAGTTGCCAGTAAGATGCAGTGACTTAAAGCACAGTCCCTGGCTTGTCGGGCTGCCAGTCTTCAGAAAGACCCGCTGGCTCCTCTTGACATTTTTCCATGTTTCCCCACTGGTCTTTCCTGCTCATTATGTCTTCCTAGACATTACCTTTTTTACTTTTGTTAAATCATGCGTACATGTGTGTGATTGCCTCCCCCAAAACAGTTACCATGAGTTTTGACTCTGAGTCCTGGCAGCCCTGTGTGTGTCCACGGGGTTCCCATGACTGATTTTTTGGAAGTAGAGCGGCAGGCCTTAACCTTTGGCCATGCAGGGACTCCCCTCTAAGGGACCATTCTACAGATGAGGAACCCGAGACACCAAGAGGCTGTGTCCTCGAGCTTCACCTTCCCGGGCCTGTGGGAAACGGTTCCGTTTCCATGCACGGGGCAGACCCGTGGCCTGGACCTCCTGTGTGGCCAGCTTGAGAAGGCTGTGTCAGCCTGCCGATGCTCAGAGACGGGAGGCAGTGATGCTCAGAGACTGGCGTGCTAATGCATTAAAAGCTGTGCTGTCCCTTTTGACAAGGCTCCCTTTGTCTTTTCCAGTAGAAAACGAACATGTAGGCAGAGGGCAGAGGGCACCCAGGCAATTACGCAGTTCCTCCACTTCACTTGGCAGCGTCACGTGTCCTGCCGATTTGAATAACCCAGTCCCATCAGTGAGTGTGTGCTTCCTTTTCGGTTGGAATTCACCTGCTTTGCTTTGTCCTTGTGCCTGAAAATCCACCTTATCTTTGGTTCACAAACACCTGAAGGGCAAGGTGCTACCAGATAAGGGTTAGAAGTGGGCAGTTTGCCTTCCAAGGGTGGAGCTACAGGGGTGCTGCTGTGGTCCCAGCAGGCAGGTGCTCTTGAAAGGTGGTCACGAGCGTGTCACAGAAGCAACCCACAGAGGGAAGTTTTCTACTGTCAGCCTGTCTTGATAACAGTGACACACACCAGCTAGCCTTTATGGAACGCTTCCTGCATGTCCGGCGTTGTGCAGAGTGCCACTGCACCCTGGAGGCCCACATATGGCCATCAGTGTGCTTCTGCAGCAAAGCCATGAAGGGCGACGTGGCCACTGGCTGTCCTGATGTCCAGCTACAGCCCAGAAACGCAAGCACCTTCAACGAGTCCCTGGCATTGGCCAGCCTGCTTTTTTTTTTTTTTTTTTTGCAGTATATCATGTAAGAATTTCCTAGCATCACAATTTGGTATGGAAGGTCCAGTTGTATTACACAGGTAACGTTGACCTTAACCAAGCTACTAATTGCATTTATGATGTTTAAAAGACCTGACACTTTGACCTCTTGGCTACAATAACTTCGTGCTCAGTAACGCAAGGGAGGCCCCTCAGGCTGCCATGGGTCCACATAGCTGCTGGTAGGGCCTCTGAGAGCTGTTGGAAACTGCCAGCCTGCCTTTGAAGACACTGGCCACCTTCATCTCTTCGTCCCTGAGCTCTGTGGGGTCCTCATGCTAGTTTTCATTGAGCCCTGAGCATAGGAAACGCAGCTAGGCCATGTGCAGGCAGACAGTGATGGCGAGTGGCATGTCAGGGCAGCTTGCGTTTCAGGAATGGGGTCTTCAGTGTCTGCCAGAGCAGAACTCCTGCCAGGATCAAGAGCCCCAGTCCCCAAACCTCAGTCACAATCCTGCATCTCTGTCTCCTGCCTCCCTTGGCACCCTCACATGCCCACTTCTTTGAGCATGCCCACAGACTCCGTCCTCTTCTGCCTGAAGGGTCTGGGAATCCTCCCTTGGGATTTCTTTTTTTCTTTTTTTTTTTGAGGTTTCGCATTAATCTTTAATGCCTTCATGTAGCACAATGACAAGTCACAGGCTTTAGTCTTGGTTCAGCAGTGGCAACTTGCAATGAGTCTAAATCCTTGAGCCCTGAAAGGTCCCTGGTCAGTCCTTGGGGTACGCAGGTGTCTATATTGGAAGACCCTGCTCAAGTACAGTTCTTGATGTCTGGGGAATCCTTTTGGGGAAGATCTCTTCAAACTCAATAGTAAGGTCCCCAGACTGGCCTCCAGGGAACAGACACTTGTTCCAATTCCCCCCACCCCAAAGGTTTCTTCTGGACTCCAGTATGGCCCCGTACAGAGAGCAGTGGCTGTCCTGGACTGGCTGTGAGTGCACCCCAACTTTACATGGGATTATAGAAACATATTACAGACGTTCCAGTGCTCTCGTAATCAGAAGCAAAGACCTTTTTATCAAAAGGGATTATATCTAGGGCTGTGCAAAATTCAAAGAGATCAGATCCCTTTGAAATCAGAGACCAGAGTCCATTAGTTCAGAAGGGAACAAAAAATTCCTGAGTTCCTGTGAAGGCCAGCTACGCCAAAAGGCTGCCTTATAGGAAGGAGTGACTCCTAAGTGAGCACATTGGCTTCACCGGCACCAGGGTCCCAGGGCTCCCAGACCTTTGCAGGAAGCTGTGGTTGTAACTTGCTGCCTTGAGCCTGGCTCCCTTGGTCCTGCTGGAACTAGAGGTATTGCTTGTGGGTGCCGCCTGCAGAAACGGTCTAGGTTCTCAATTTGAGATGACAGAAGACAAGACAGGATTCTGCAGGGGAAGAGCAACAGGTGGGAGACAACACAGAATAAACCCAAACTGAGCACACAGCAGACACCGAGGAACGTACAGGGTCTAGTAACCAAGATAGCGGGAAAGCTGGAAGAAAGCACAGGAACCGCGGAGGGTCAAGTCGAGCTGTGGGTTGGTCTTTCGCCCCTAGGTGGGACTGAAGAGGAGAGGGAGGGCTGTAGGACTCAGAGGGGCAGACTGGAGGACCTGTTCCTGTCATCTCCACCACCTGCCGTTCTGTCACTCAAAAAACCACCTAAGTCTAGTGCACAGCTTTGAAAGATTGTAATATATTCTCTGGAAAA